TTGATTTTGTTGGATTGTATTTACTTGAGTCCGTATTTTCACATGGACAACTTTATGTCGCATTATCAAGAGCAAAAAGTAGTAAATGTATTAAAGTTCTTATGAAACCAAATGGAGATAGTCAAAGCCATTACACTTGTACGAAGAATGTTGTATATAAAGAAGTTCTAGCTACAGTTTCTTCCACATGAACAATAAAGTATATTTGACCGATTTTCAGGGCTTGTCCTTCAATTTTCAGGGCTTGTCCTTCGGATTCCCAATCCCCTCACAATATGCAGAGTGCTGTTTTGACCGAGAAGGTATTTTTTTTATTTTTGTAATTTCTTCTGTGAATTTGATCAAATGCCCTATACAGAAGTGCTTGATAGTCATTTATTGACTTTTATTTGTGAAAGCCGAACTTCTTTTGGAGTTTCCTGATGGCACAACTCCTGTTACTTGCCTTGTCTCAATATATGATTCTTCAACAGACAGTAAGGTCAGGCTAGGATCTTCTATGGACAACGCCCATGATCCTCTGTTGCCTACTGGCATTCTCTACATGGAAGAAGTGCAAGTGAAGGTTGGATTACTTGTTTCATTGTGATGATTCTGTAACTGGCAACTTTTCTTCCTGTTTCTTTAAGCTTTATCTATAAATATGAATCCACTTTTATGGGGATAGTGTAACAGATTTTTCCAAAAGCAATTAGTGAGCAAGGGAGAAGCCAAGTTTGTTCTACTGTTCCATTTCTGCGAATAGACAGAAGAGAATTCTTATCTCTGGTTCCATTCACTATCCAAGAAGTACCCTGGAGGTATATTTATTACAAATGTACATTATTGTTTCTTTTGTTTTTTGTTTTCCTGGTAAATAAGGTGTTTTTATTCTATAAATTGTCGAGTCCCGTTTGAAATAAATTTTGGCCTTTTATTGATGAATTGAAGTCTTTTTCTTCATATTACAGCTTTCACCATGCAATAAAATCGCAATTAGTGCTAACACGTCTTGTTTCTATTGTAGTTGTTTTTCGATTTTTTCATCCGTGCTGTTGAATATGAAATTTGTTGTTGAATCTACGATTTCTGTTTAAATTTTTTCAGTCTTTTGGTATTTAGTTTTAGGTCTTCCACTTTTTGCTCTGTTTTTATGAGATCGAACAAAAAATACCTAAACTATGTTGATTTCATATTTTTGTTTTGTTTTTGCATTAAATTTATTACTTTTATTTTTTTATTTGAGTTGTGTGAAACTCTTACAGCAGGATGAACATTTTTTTTTTTTTTTTGGGTTTTTCTTAGGAGATAGACCACAAAATGCCTAAACTATGTTTATATTTCATATTATTGAGAGGCCGTTGTAACTTGGAGTTTTGAAGAAAGGTTTGGCAAACGTTAAAGAATGTAATAAGCCACTGATGTTGTATAGATTGTCGAATGTGACAAAGTAATAGACATGGTTTAGTTGATTATTATAAAACTTGTGATAATAACAGTATGCTATGGAATGATCTTATATTTGGGTATGTGCTTGCAGTTTTTTATTTATTTTTTTATTTTGATTGCCACTGGTGATGGTTGAAGTTTTGATTTTTACTGGTTGCCTATTTTTATTTTTTTTTAAATTGTAGCCCAGACGACGCTCCTTGGGATGGAGGTGAGAATATTCTTGCACGAGAAAATATATTTCTGCGATCGTTAATTCTTCAATTTCTGAATCTTATAAACCTAATATTTATGCATGTTCTATTTCAGCCATTTTTGAAAGAGATATTGAATAAGGTCTGTGTATTAAGAGGAACCAACCAAGGAACTTATCAGCTGAAGCCAGAGTATAAAAAATCCACTGAAGATACAGGTGCTACATAAGGATAGTTTTTATTTTATAATTAGGTTGTGCATCAAGGCAATACAGTTGACTAAAGAATGGAGACCATTATAATATCCAAAGGTATTCATCGGTCTGCAAATTAGGTTTCCCTATGGTGTAGGCCTATCCTGTTATATTTGGTGATAATATGCATCTTACCATCCTTAAACTCAAGAAACAAGCTGAGGATATTAAAAGCTTTATATTAACTATAGATTGTTTCTACCTATCAAAAACTATAGATTGTTTCTGCCTTTTGATTAAATTGTCTTCATGTAGTGATTAGATTAGCAGGGTTGGTACATATTATTTCACAGTTGTTCTTTATTTCTTTTTATTTTCCCTTCTATTTATTAACATAGTCTCGAATGTAAATAAAAGTCAGAAAGTCAAAATTCTTAACTGTGTTTTCAGGGACACAATTATAGTCATATTTGTTATCTTACCTATGTTTTTAAGCACACACTTATAGTCAGATTTGTTATCTTATGTTTTCACATTTTCTCTTTCCATGCATCTGTAATTGGATGAACTGAATGCAAAGGAACAAGATTAGATTTTCAACCAACTTGGTCAAGGCTGTTCTGAATGTAATTTATGGAAAAAACAGAGCTTAAGTAACTTTATTAAACATTAGTTCATTCAGTTTTATGCTACCATTGTTTATGCAAAAAGTTGTGTTATGAGCTCATATTGAAATGTGTTGGTTATGGCTTTAACAATAATTTCATCTGTTTCACTTTTTTGAGGCTTCCGTCCTGGTTATAACTCTTCCAAAATCATTGCTGCTGTATATTTGTCATTGTGATGGTTGGTTCTTGGTGAATAATGTTGTTGCCTCAACTTTGTCATGTCTTGTATTGATATCAAGCAGGTTTAAAGGAAAGGGTTGCCACTAGATGAAATTCTCAAAACTATGAACTTACACCATTGTTCTTATACACCATTTATATTTGCAGCATAATTCAAATTGTTAGTTTTTCTATCACTTTTTGTTTTCTTTTTCAGTAGAGTAGCACTTAGGAAATATGTGATTTTTTTTAGTATAATTGAAGTCAGATGTTCTATTTATTAGATTTTAACACACCTGGAAGTGAGATTTATCTATTTGTACATTGCCCATTTATTAAATTTTAAACTTTGCAATCTAAATATGGGACTTTAGTTTACTATAATTATGCCATATTCCTTTCATACTATTGCTGGAGGAGACCAATCATGAAATTGACTTAGCATTTTCTAAGGAAGCAAAAGAAAACATTTTAAATACTATAGGAATTTTCATTACTTAAAACAATATCATGTTATTTTTTCCATTGTTCAACTCTGGAATTACAAAATTAACAACGGTTATCGTGTAACACACGATCCCCACTATATATATACCCATACATTGGTATGGGTTTTGTTCAGTCTTAAAATTTGTTTAATTTGTTATTTTCTTGATAATCTTTGCAGAGAAACTAGAAAGTAAATGTCTTCCTACGGAAGATATGATTTTGAATACCAAGCGTGCCAAGCCCAAGGCATTATTCTGCGGTATCACGAACGGGAACTGCTGTCACTGCAGCCGAAAATTTACGGTGTTTATTTTGATTTCACAGTAAAACACATACTGAAAAAAAGACCAGGTCGAGGTGATGATGAAAGACTAGCTTATGATGGGCCTAGCTTTTGGTTGCCTTGGCATTACGTTATCGGGCCATATGATATTTTCAATAGGCATTTTAGCGGTTATGGGGTGCGCGAGGATGTGAAAGAAGAATTGATACAACAAATTCGTGATCTTGCCAATCAAATGAAGGCTGATCCGTTGAATGCTGGCTGCAGGTTATTCCAAATGGCTGTGTCGATTCAGATTTACACGGTACAACAAGAGGATGAAACTATTGAGGCTACTACTTTTTAGGGCCATTACGGAGGAGAATTTAGAATTAGACTAGCTAGGGGAAAACAAGTATGCATACCTTCCTGGAAAGTGGTCATTCATTGATTCCCTTACGAAAGCAGGACAAGTTAGGGACGAATGTTGTGTTTGTTTGAACGGGTCTTCTCTTGGAGGAGAAATATCCTTCCTGCCGTGCTCACACGCATATCATTCCGAATGCATTATCACTTGGCTACTGACGAATCTTGCATGCCCATTTTGTTTCGCGCCAGTGCCTTGTCGAAGTTATCCTTGGTATTAGCTCATTTTTTCTTTTAGTTTGAAATAATATTGGAGATTTCATATCGTCAGATCTTTTTATTAACAATGCTATTGTTTAGATTCTAGAGATATTTAACTTTGGTTTTGTAATTTCTCTTAGAGGTACTATTACGTGTTCTTAGCTTCTGATTTTACACATTATGTTTTATTTTATGCGTGATCACTATTTTGGAGACGTACTCCCTGATTTAATAATGATAGATCGATAGAATAGACGAATCTGTTGTGCACAGAGAGAGAGAGAGAGAGAGAGAGAGAGATAGCGCAATTTAGCACCTGTCTGGTACAACTTCCTTTTGACTTAACAGCAAAAATATAGCCGTTGCCCCCAAGGTCAGCAGGTCCCACACGTGAAAGAGTGGGTCAAAAATATCAGGCTACAACGGTCCAAAAATGAATTTCTGCATTCCAAAATGGCGCCCAGACAGGGCCTTAACAACATTATCATTAATATTAAAGACTGAATTATGACTTGATTTTTGACAGGAGGCTGCTGCATAGAGGAGCAGCAAAGTAGTGAGAAAACTGGAGGTAAGTGAACGAACGGCCTGAACCTAAAGGCTGAACTATTGAAGAATGAAGCGTTAGGTTATAAAAAAAAATGGGCCCTAAAAAATCTGGGCCTTAGGAGGGGCCTCTCCTCAGGTCCGGCCCGGAACGGAACTAAGAAAGAAAAACCTGAAAGTGGTTGATGAATTCTTCCCCATTATCGACGTAGAAATCATTGAACTCAGCTGCTTGCTTCAAATTCGCCAATGCCAGAAATAATAAAAATTAAAGAGCCAAATTTCCAAAATCCAAAGTGAAAGTGGAGCTCGGGCTGCTCCAGCGTGCTTCCAATTCCAGAAATGTGGTAAGTGGTAAGGGTTTTTACTTTTTAATTAGGTGGGCTAATGGGCTTGGGAATTAGGGTGGAAAAAAGAGAATAAATTGGTATGTAGGCCAATCACAAATATTAGATTAAAACTTGATCCATTTAACTTTTAAGTTGGGCTAGTGGTTATGTTTTTAATAGGGTAGTTAGTGGGCTAACTTTAAATCTGGATCGAGTTAGAATTTTTTTTTTTTATCAAAAAACTAACAAAGAAAAACTCTTTTTAGGCCGAGGCTGCACTGGGCTAAAGCGACCTCCAAATCCGCCCCTGCAGAGGTTGCCGATGACGAACACCGACAGACGACAAGCAGAGAGCAGGCCACGAAGCAAAAGCAAAGGCAAAGGTTAAAGAGAAGACCCCCAAAGGCAGCAAATTTCTCTCAATTTTGGGGATCAAGGAATAACCGTGTGCATGTAAGGCTAATATAGAGACTATGTGGGTTAACATACATAGGTCATGAGCAATGAGCCGAGCCCATTAACACTTCTAATTGCCCATAGTGAGTTTCCTGGCGCGTCTATTTTCTTGGGCTACCAATTGTGAACTCGGGCCTATAATAATTAACTTAGGAAAAAAATTCATAAATAAGAGGTTAAATATTACACATTTCAAAAATAAGAACAACTGTTACAAATTTCAAAAATCAGATACTA